AAATAGTAAAATGGTCAAATGAATTCGTTTCATGAGGTAAAAGGCATGAAATAACACTTGACAAACAAGGTCATGAACACAGATATATTTGAGATCAAAGAACAATTTCTAGTTCCATGTACAAATCTCTCATACTCCATGAATTTCATACACACAAACATACACACACAAACACACAACAGATTTTTAAGGATTAGAAGATTGGGATTAATCTGACAAGCAAAGGACAGAAAAGAAAGAGAAAAAGAACAAGAGAAATACATAGAGGGAACTCTTTCTTAGTGGTATTCTAATGTTATTTAATAACATTTAAATATATCCAAAATAAACAGGTGACATTTTTTCTAAAGAAAAAAGCTGAATATTAATGATGTGAAGGTCTTCTAATTACATAAAAATCTGAACTCAATATAATGTTTGAAAATAGGATTTTTCTTTTTTTTTTTTTTTTTGAGACAGAGTCTCACTCTTTTTGCCCGTGCTAGAATGAGTGCCATGGCGTCAGCCTAGCTCACAGCAACCTCAAACTCCTGGCTCAAGCGATCCTTCTGCCTCAGCCTCCCGAGTAGCTGGGACTACAGGCATGCGCCACCACGCCCGGCTAATTTTTTCTATATATTTTTAGTTGTCCCATTAATTTCTTTCATTTTTAGTAGAGACGGGGTCTCGCTCTTGCTCAGGCTGGTTTCGAACTCCTGAGCTCAAACAATCCGCCCGCCTCGGCCTCCCAGAGTGCTAGGATTACAGGCGTGAGCCACCACGCCCGGCCGAAAATAGGATTTTTTATCCAATCAATTTTCTAATGAGAAAAAAAAACCTTTATTGTTTAACCCTTGACTAAAATATTTTAAACCTTACATTACAGGAGTTGACATACTTGTCAAAGTAAAATAAACTAGTATCTTGGGAAATCAAAGATGAAAAAATACAGTCTACACTCATGAGGACATTATAGTCTAGTGGAAAGGAGGACATAAAATATTCTATGATAACAATGACAATTGAAATATGTACAAAATACAGTGGGGAAGCATACTTGTATATGAGGATAGAAAAAATTTAAGGGTTCCAAGCCAGTCAAGAAAATTTTCTCAAAGCAGTTAGAACTTGAATAGACACAGTAAGAATGAGTAAGAGAAGGGCGAATGGATAAGTGGACAAGAAAATGTCTGAGCAGAAGGAAGAGAACACACAAAGACCCAAGGATCTCAAAGAATACAGTATTTTTTTTAGTGTGGAAGAGGGAATCCATGGTTATGGGAATATAAAAGTTTAGACCCATTTGAAGATTCCTATTATTAATACATATCTTTTATTCTGATCTATAACATTTTAAAATAGTATTTTAGTTTCATAATACTATCCCTGTGAGCACTGTTGTTTTTTTTTGGCAGTTTTTATTAACATATCAGATACATAGAGAAAAGTATAAAACTCATCAATGAACAGATCAATGACTTTGTATAGTTTGAGCATACCTGTGAAAACACTAACCAGATCAAGAAACAGATCATGCCCAGTATACAGAAGCCTCCTTCATGCCACCTTGCAAGCACTAGCCATTGCCCACCCTCAGCCAGTCCTGCAAGTAAATAACACACTGACTTCTGACATCATCTGTTAGCTTTGTCTGTTTTTGAAATTTATATAATTTATATAAATTTACACAAAACATACTCTTTTGTTTCTGATTCTTTTCCTTAAGTTTATGTTTGTGAAATTCATCCATATTGTTGTTTATAGCAACAGTTTGTTGATTTATATTGCAATATAACATCCCATTATATAAATATAATACCATTGATTTATCCATTACACTGTTGACAGACATTCGGGTTATTTTTGGCTTGAAACTATTATGAATGTCGATGCTGTAAATATTCTTGCACATGTCATTTGTTGAACATATGCTCAGTTCTGCTGAGCTTATATCCCAAGAATGGATTTGCTGGTAATTAGGTTGTACAAAGCGGTTGTACACATTTACAATTCAACCGTTGTATAAGGGTTTCACTTGCTCCACAATCTCACCAACACTTGAAATTACAATTTTCACTTTTCCACTGTGTATGTAGTAGTTTTTTATTGTGGTTTAAATTTGCATTTCCTTGATGGCCAAGTTGAGTAGGTGCTCATATTTTCATATGATTTGGGGCCATTAGGACTCTGTTATGCAATGTATTTTTAAACATATTTAGCAGATCTTTCCACCATCATCACTGTAACCCGACAAAATGTAGTATGTGAGGCTAGGAATTGCTGCAGAATATTGTAAGCAATTATTGATAGCATTGTATCTTCCCATGAGTAGAAATAATTTTCTTCTTTTTTTTCTATTCTTCTCTTCTACCCATACCATTCTTCTTTTATTCTAACCTTTTCATTAACCTTTTTTTTTAACCTCTTGGCTTCCAGTCCAAAAAGATCAATGAACAGAAGCCAATGAACCACACTCGAGTATTTCATAGTGTTCAGAAACAACTTTGTATCAGAGAGCCAGTCTTAATACTTTATAGTTGCCAAATGTTTAGGTTTTCTTGATTTGTTATTGTTTGTGGGTGTTTTTTTTTTAAGAAAACAACAGAAAATAAGCATTCCTTCCTAGTCATTTGAAAATAAAAAAGTCATTCATACAATTTTAATTGGATAAATATAAATGTCCCCTTTTTGTCAATTTATGAGTAAATAATGTTCAGTCAGCACTGGAGAGCAATATCAGAAGGGAAATGGAAAACAAAGATATCTATTGTAAAAAGGGGAGAGCAAAAGAATATTGATAAGTGCTTTCTCTCACCTCTCTGAAGACTAAACAGTCACATTTGACAAAAATAAAGTGGCCATGACCTTTTTCCCTCCTCTGCATGATTAATTACTTTATGTCCTATTAATTGGAAGATATGGCTGCATTTCAAACACTTTCATTTTCTGTGCATATCATCCTGCACTGTAACCACCGATTAAGCTGTTCATCAAAGGTGAGCCAACAAGGTCATCTGAGCAGTAATTCTTCAGCTATTCATTACCCACCATCAATGGTAATTAACAATGGTAACATTTCCATAAATCAACGTCTTTCTGATTATTCTCTGATGATAAACAGTCAAAATGTGTGCATCCCAGTCCACCCCCCTTAATTTTATATGAAAAATTTAGTCTAAATATAACACAGAGAAAATTCAGTTGAAAAATTACAGTAGTTTCTTTAATTAAAATGCACCAGGAAAATAACGTTATGTATCTTCGAAAAAAAAAAAAAAAAACACAAACCAGTGCACAAAATTAAATAAGTCTGCTGACAAATTAGGGGTCACATATAAGAAGGAAAGAGTATCAACCTCATAGTTCCAATTTATCCTTCAGCAACAGAAATTATTGCTCATTTCAGCCTCAGAAATAACCACTTCCCTACTCAGTAATAGAAAGTGACAATTTAGACTAAAAAGCAGATTTAATTCATTCTACTATCAAAGTACACATCAGGTTGGATCCATAAAAAACTTTCTAGGCCGGGTACAGTGGCTCATGCCTGTAATCCTAGCACTCTGAGAGGCTGAGGCAGGAGGATGGCTTGAGGTGAAGGAGTTCAAGACCAGCCTGAGCAAGAGCGAGACCTCATCTCTACTAAAAATAGAAAAAATTAGGCTGGTATAGAGGCACGCACCTGCTACTCAGGAAGCTGAGGCAGGAGGATCCCTCGAGCCCAGGAGTTAGAGGTTGCAGTGAGCTATGATGCTGCTGCACTCTAGCTGGGGTCACTGAGCAAGAGTCTATCTCAAAAAAAAAAAAACAAAAAACCTTTCCAAAGGATATATTTACTATATTCATTTACAAACCAAAATTTAGAAATGTAACTTTTTTATTTGCTTGTTTATTTGTTTTATTTGCTTTGTGTACCTGTGACATGTTGTTTATTGTTGACATTTTTACTTTTTCCTTTTTTAAATCATACTAATTAGCACATTCCAGGGATTCCAC